AGGGCCATGCATATTTCTTGGATCGGAGACCAGGCGGAAAGGCGCTCAAGGGGCATCACGGTTTCAAGGGTCTAGACAGGCGGGCATCAGCGTGGCCAAAAGACCACGAGCGGAATCCAGTCTCGAGACAGGAGTTTTATGGGGCTGTCATTGCCTCTGAACGGCTCAGCACATCTACTACTTTATATACCGGCTTACCGGAGGTCTCAGGGATACAAACACGGGGACTCGGGATTTGGGGACTTTTCTGGTTACTACCTATACACTAGCCACAGATGCTGGTATTCTATCCAATTATACCCATATATATATAGTATATATTATTTCTGAACAATGCTTATGGGTCTTGCTTGGATGTACGCTGTGTTCTGTGTCGCGGACATCGTATCAGTGTTCGTCACCAGTACTACTCAAACTTCCCTGGCATAAGTCTGCGCCCTGGTAAAGATAATAGGTCGGGGGTTTCCCATAAGATAATTTCTACCGTTCGCGATTATCCCAGGTAATATTTATATCATAGGTTAATCGGTGTAACGTTGGGCTTGTCCCATAGGATAGTGGCAGATCAAATAATCGTCGTCTGGGGTAATTATCCCACCATCGGCCCAAGTGGTGACGCTGAAGAAGGACGCAGGCTCGTGCAGGCTTGGTGTACTTCCAGGTCTGACGGACTGGCTGCCTAGCATTCAGAAGGTACTTTACTCGGTTTCATCCGGCGTGGGCTACCGGTGATTACTTGGGGGCGGGGGGGGGGGGGGGGGGGGGGGGGGGGGGATACAAATGCTGTGTCTGTCAACATGCGTCCTCGTCATCTGTAGCAAGCCGGGACAGAGTCAAAACACCATGAACTATTACTTGGAAGTTCACTTTTTTCTATTTTTTGACACGAAGAACTTCTAGGATATGGGGATGGGACGGGACAACGCAGGCGGCGGCACAGGCGGCGGCACAGTGCCTTACTTCTTCTCCTGCTTTCCCTTTCCCTTGGCCTTGGGCTTGGGCTTAGCCTTGCCCTTGGCCTTCTCCTCCTTCTTCTTCTTCTCCTCCTCCTCCTCGCTGCTGCTCTCGCTTTCGCTCTCCTCCTCGCTACTGCTGCTGCTGCTGCTCTCCAGCTCGGCAGGAACCTCCTCCTCCTCGAACTTGGCCTGGAGGATGTACGGCTCGATCATGCGGCCGGTGGCGTTGGCGAACTCGCAGGCGACGAAGTGCCAGTGGAGGGCGTGCTGGCGGGCGACGACGACGCCGAGGGTGCGGCAGTCGTCGGCGCTCCAGAAGCGGTCGGGGCGCGGGAGGGGCTCCCGGGGCGGGAACTGGCGGCCCAGCACCACGTGCCAGAAGTAGCGCTTCTGCTGGTACACCTCGGAGCGCGGGTCGTAGTGCGCGTTGATGGGGCGGCCGAGGATGGGGCGGTCCTCCTGGGACTCCTCGGAAGAGGAGGATGACTCGGAGCTGGATTCGGACTCGGAGGAGGAGGAGGAGGAGGAGGAGGAGGAGGACTCCTCCTTCTTGCCGCCCTGGTTCTTCTTCTTCGACTCTTCGGCCTTGGCCTGAGCGTCCTGCGCCTCGTAGATCTTGGCCAGCTCGTGGAGCTTCAGGCCCATCTTGGCGGCCTCGCCCTTCAGGTGCTGGTAGCGGGACCAGATGTCGTGGGCATCACGGTCGAGCTTCTTGCCGATCTGGGCCCATCTAGAAGGTGGCGGTGATGGTTAGCATGAGAGGAATGGAAGATGGCATCAAGAGGCTAATCGAGGGGCAAGGGTAGGATACAGTAAATATAAGGTAGATACATACTTCTTGCCCTTGGACTGGAGGATGGCCACAGTGCGGTCCTCCTCCTGGGTCCACTCGCGGCACTCGGATTCGTCTGAGTCGGACATGGTGGCAGGATCTGCTGCGGGTGGCTTGTTCTTGGCTTTGTGCAAGTCAGTTGAGGCGGTCACGTTAGAAGGAGAGGAGGTCATTGTTCTGCGGGTACTTACGCTTGTTCACAGCTGCGGGAACGGCGAAATCCTGGGCGACAGGACTTTGGAAAGACACGGTCTTCTTGGGTCTGCCAGGAGCAGGAGGTTGTCTGGCAGGAGCAGGAGGTTGTCTGCCAGGATTGGGAGGCTGGCGAACAGGTGCAGGTTGCTGAACAGGTACAGCAGGCTGGCTGTGCGGATAGTAAGGGTTGTAGAAGCCCTGCGGATGGATGCCAGGGTTATAGCCCTGCTGGTAGCCAGGCGGGCCTCGGGAGGAAGCCATCGTTGTGACAGGCGACGACGTGGTTGTCGAGGGAGTGGTCGCAGCTGAGGCTGTCGCGGGCGACGGTGTTGCGGGTGACGGCGTCGCGGGCAACGTTGGTGGTTGAGAAGGACTCGGCGCGATGGGTCGGTTGGCAAAGTGACACACGCAAGCAGATTACATGCACCTGGGCGAGTGCTTTTGCTCTGGCAACAACACCGTAAACGCAGCCCTTATCGTACGTACATGGCACTATCTGCCTTCTGCCCCTCCTCACTTACACCTCCGAGCATGACGTCCTTTTCCCGTTGCCGGGCACCAAATCAGTTCTATCCCACTGAGGCCAACTTACTTACAACTTGCTCCCTGTCCGAGGACGCCACTTAGCATAGGGATGGTCCTCTCCAGGGCCGGGAACGAGATGATCAACCGCACCGGTATTCAACAGACCCGGATGGACCTGGTCCAGGCTGGTGACACCACACTGCTGCATCGTCGTCTGCAACTCGTCTGCCAAGACTAGATAGATACTGCCCGTTAGCCTTTCAAGTCCCTTTCCGACCTGACCTAGGTACTAAGTACCGGGACAAGTCCGAACACTCACTGTTGACGAAATGCTCGATCCCCTCCTTCCCGTAGTTCAGCGCATACAGGAACCCGCGACCGATACCGACCGCCCTGGCCCCCAGACACAGCGCCTTGAAGATGTCGGTTCCGCGGGTGATGCCGCCGTCGACGTAGACCTCCATGCGCTCGAAGACCTCGGGGCAGTTCTTCTGCAGCTCGAGCAGCACCAGGACCGTCGCCGGCGCCGTGTCCAGGCTGCGGCCGCCGTGGTTCGAGATGTAGATCGCGTCGACGCCGGCGTCCATGGCCCGGACGGCGTCCACCGACGTCTGCACGCCCTTCAGCACGAGGGGGAGGCCCGGCGCGTGCCGCCGCAGCCACGCGAGGTCCGCCCAGCGGAGCGAGGCGTCGATGTAGCTCCCCATGACGCGGCCGAGCGCGCCGCCTTTACGGTCGTTGCGCGCCCGCACCTGGGTCATGGGGGAGGCGACCGCCTCGTCGGCGCGGATCCGCTCGTCGGCCTCGCGCTTGCCGACGACGGGGGCGTCCACCGTCAAGAACACCGCCCGGACGCCGGGGGTCCCGCGCACCGTCCGCAGCAGCGCCTCCGACTTCGCGCGGTCGCGGTCCACGTACAGCTGGAAGAAGACGGGGGGCGGTGCTGCTTCCAACCGCCTATCGTGTCCTTCGCCCCGCACCACCGCCGCCGCCACCTCCCCCACCGGCACCGACGCGCTGGTGCTGACGCACACCGGGATGCCGAGGGCCGCGCACGCCGCGCCCACCGTGCGCTCGCCGCCGTCCGCGTCGAACAGGCGGCCCAGCGACGTCGGCGCCGCGAACAGCGGCAGCGCGACGCCGTGCCCCAGGACGCGCGCGCGCGCGCGTGTCGACGGGCCCGGCCACGCCGCGCAGCACGCGCGGCCGCAGGCCGGTGGCCGCGTAGGCGGACGCGTTGCGCGCGGCGGTGAGGCCGTCGGTGGCGGCGGTGGCGGCGAAGGCCCAGGCCTTGGGCGGCAGCGAGGACCGCGCCGCCGCCGCGAAGTCGTGCGCGCTGAGCAGGCGGGCCAGGGGCGGTTTGCCGCGGTGACAGTTCGGCGGCGCCGCCGATCCGGGTCCCGGGGTCGGTGGTGGTGGTGGTGGCGGCCGCCGTGCCCGGTCCACCGGCACCGGCGCGGCGGCGGTGGTGGTGGTGTTTTCCAGCTGGCCGACCGGCGCCCCGAGCGTCTCCGGGAGCAGCGAGGCGGCGTGCACCTCGGCGTACGCGGCGCTGGCGTCCCGGCCGGCTTGCCGCAGCAGCACCCCCGTGCCGCCCGGGTGCGAGGCCGCGAAGGCGCTCAGGTCCCAGACTTGCCCGCCGATCACCAGCCAGAGGTCCGTCAGCGTGTGGTGGGTGGCGACCTCGGCGGCGCTGACGAGACGCTTCGGGTCTGAGGGGCTCATGGTGGTGTCGGGCAGGCTGCGTCGGGGTGGAAGGGAGACGTAGATCTCTCTGAGCACTAGAGGAAGGATGGGAAAGGGAATGGAATCTTGTGACACCAGCTATCACACTCACACGACAGACGATCGTTCAGAGAGGTTGTGCTGGTGTAGGCCTTTCTTCACCTTGGAGTATAGGGTCGCGACTTACGTATTCTTACCTACTAGTAACCTGCCAGTATACCGATCGCTCCTTCCGGTTTCTACTACCCGTCGAGCTGGGTCGGCGCAATGGAGGCCGAGTGAAGTGGTGGATCGCGAGGAGAAGAGCAAACCGACTTCTCCACCACGTCCACGTTCAACAAGACCGAGAGTCCTGACGTCGGACGACAACTTATTAGTTTTTCCATGCCATCCCAAAGATTCGCAGCCACTCCAGACGCAACCGATATGTGCCTTCCCTGACACGAAAGACGGGCAAAGCAGAGAGGGATGAGCTTCACACATGACTTGATACTTATCACCTGCGGTCGGCATTTTGTCTGCAGCGGCCGGGCAGCTGGCAGGATCGGGACTCTGGGAGACAGATCAGCTTGCCTGCCAGAAATCCACATTTCCGACTTCCCCATTCACAGGCCGTCGCTCTCGTCGAAACGTGTGCAACTGACGGACGTTAGGACCAAGAAGGTGACCTAGGCATATCATGCCTCACTCGAAGCTCGACCTCTCCATTTGCAACGCAGCCGGCACTGCCAAAAGATGAAAGCATTGAGCAAAAGGAATGGTTTGAGCTCTCGGTCGGGGAATTGAACCCCGGTCTCGGCCGTGACAAGGCCGCATACTAACCACTATACTAACCGAGATGGTCTGTTTTCGTGTTGTTGGGGTCGACTCGCTGACCAAGCAATACATATAGCCAAGACAACCTGCTCGAGCGCTTGGTCTAGATCGTGGGCCAGTGGATATGGCTGCAACACGGATCGTCCCCACTGAGCTCAGCACCTAAGGTATTGCTAAGGGTAAAGTACTGGAAGATTGAAGTATAGACATTTTGCATTGTAAAGTAATGAAATGAGTCTTCACTCACGAAAGAGCTGTTCTGCTTTCTTTCTCTGTCTGTCTTATCGGCACCTTATTAGTAGGTTACGGTGACCATCACTCTCTCTACCACCTCCTCAGCGACATCACCACCACCACCACCACCACCATTAGGCCTAACCACCCCCATCATCAGCCCAATCCGCCGTTCCCTCCCCGCCTCCCTCCCTCGCCTCTACGCAGCCAACGCCTTACCCACCAGCACCTTGGCGCGCTCGCTCAGCTCCTCCATGGCGAGCGCGAGCGCCCGCCCCGCCGGGCTCATCTTGGCCCAGGTCTTGCGCAGGACGGCGACGGTCTTGGCCTCGTCGTCGACGTCGGCGCGCGCCGCCTCGAACCCGTCGAGCCGGTCGTCCAGGAACACCAGGCAGGCGACGTCCTCCAGCGCCTGGGTCTCGGGGTCCGCCGCCAGGTTCTCCTTGCGCACCAGCGCCGCGACGCGCGCCGCCGCTTCCGAGGGCAGCAGCGGCGGTGGGTGGAGGGAGGACGAGGACGAGGACGAGAGGAGCGACTGCAGCCGCGAGGCCGCGACGGTTTTCTGCTTGCTTCGCCACGAGAGGTACCCGGCGCGCGTCGCCGGGTAGGTGCTGCGCGGGATCTCCCATCTGTGTGCGCGCAGGCCGTTTGTGAGTACTTAGGTAAAGTAGGTATGTAGTACGGGGATGAGTGAGTGGGTGAGTGAGTGAGTGATCGTGAAAGCCAGCAACGTTATTGCTGCCGATTCCTCTCGAGCAGTGATTGTGGTCCCGTTCCGTCCAAACAGCGTCAAGTTACAAGTGAGGCATGAATGTATACGGGCCCCGGGTGATAAGGGACGGCTCAGCTCATAATGCTTGTCTGTCTAAGAACCCGAAGAAGCCGTAACATATATCCACGTACGTACCTTCGGAAATGCTGCGCCCGGCACGCCAACTGCAGCGCGGGCGACGCGTCCGGGCATCGCTTGGCCAGCCAGCGCGTCATTTTGCGGGCGTAATGCAGTTCGTACGGGACCGCCTCCTCGCCGTTCTCGCCCGCTATCGTCTTCGGGTCCTCGGCGTGCGCGTCGTCTATGAGCTTCAGGGCGGCCGCGTAGTTGGCCGGTAGTTCTGGGAGCGACGCCATGGTTCGCTTCCTTTCGCTCGGGGCTACCGGGGCGACCACAAGGACGCGAAATGAAATATAAGGATATACAATGACTGTATATGGATTCGGTATCGAGAATGAGATGGTTGCCAGGTGCTTGGGGACGGCGGAGAGTCAGATCAGCGCAGATGCGCTCGCCGTCGCGGTAGCGGCTTAGGTATTCCTAAGCGATGTGGGGTTGGCAGCATGGCCATTAGTGAGACCCGTACAGGCCAGGACAGGGACCGATCAGAGTTACTGTCACGAATCCTGCCCCAAAAGTGTTCTTGACTCAGAGCACGGATCGGCTTGGCTAAGTATCGTAAATCGCGGCCTTTTCCGTATTACCTACTAAACTTTGGGCAGTCGATCTCATGGCTTTATACTGTTAGAACGACTGCTCGCGCCTATGTTCGACTTGAAGAAACGGTAAGACCAGTGCCAAGGGCCTTGATATGATACATAAAGTATGCAAGGTACGTATGTAGAGTAGGTTAAGTATATGGTGTACATGGTGTACAAGGCAGAAGATGCCAAAATCCAGAGCACTCCATCCCGAAAGCAACAGGTATCTTGCACCAGGTCGCCAAAACGCCGCGTTCTCCCTAGGTAGAAGTTGACCCGGCATCCTCATAGACGCGTCGCACTTCGTGGCCCATGACCTTGCCATGAATCAAATTCGTCCCTTTCCGTCGGGGCCATTTCGGTGGGCTTCGCGCTTCACGTTTCACGTCCCCGGGTATGGCCTGTAATACTGGTACTGCTGAGGAGGGGGCGGACTATGCGGGGCATACTCCGACTGCGGCGGTGGTGTTGGGTTCGTGAGGGCCGAGACCATGGTATTGTAGTTGTCCGCAGGGCTCACGGGGCTGACCGGGCTGGGCTCGATGGGGGATACGGCCTCGTCTATTCGCTTCGGCTGCCCAGGGGTGTAGAAAGACGGTGCTCGTGAGCTACGGTCATCCCGGGCGTAGACAGCAGGCGGGCTTCCGTATGTATCCTGGGGATACGCCATAAAGGGCTGGTCCGTCGTCTGCGCCATGCCAGGCGGTGCTTCTCCATAGAATGTGGACGGGTATTGCGATCCAGGCGGCTCGTTAGTGTACATGTGCGTGTTGGACAGGTCGCCGCGTCCCAGTGAAGCGGCTGGTTCCTGCGCTCGCTTCTTCTTCCTCCGGCGAAGTATGAAAAACAGAAGAGCAGCGGTGATCAATCCAAGACCGGCAACGCCTCCAAGCACACCACCGACAATGGCACCCACATTGGTCGAGTTGGAACTATCATCCGATGCCGCTGTTGCTGTACTGGACGAGGCGCCGCCATCAGTAACCGTCACCGTCGATCCGCCGCTCGATGTTCGGCTTGAGGCCGTTGCCGACGACTCCTCGCTGGAGGCCGTTGATGTGCCCTCTCCGGGAGGATTCCAACCAGGCAAAGGCGTTGTAGCAATCGTTCCCGATTCCCCTGCCGCGGCACATCCCAAGAAGCTGGCTCCGTATAAGGGCTCATAGAAGTTGGCATCATAGGCATATGTTGCGCAGTGCGGCTGCTCAGGGTCGGTGCTGTTCTGCCATTAGCCGGAACCGCCACCGTACACTGACTGACTGCATTATGCTTACCACTGCAGCAGCACTGGTTAGCATAAAGTCGTAGGTAAGTATTGAGCATGGGTTTTCGTAGATGACTCACATATATCGTTGCCGGATCGCCGGACCATTGCGCTGTAGCTGTCGACTCCAGACACACAGAAGGGAGGGTGCAATCATTCACGTCTTGCTCGGTGCAGCACCCCACCACACCCTCATGTCGGTCGAAATAACAATACGACTGGCCGTTACATGTGATGGCTGGGCCTGTGGGCAGTCAGAAAGTGAGTCTCAGGACAGGTCTCGAAGCCAACGCACTACTCAAGTCATCGGCTGGGTAGCCGCAAAGGGTCGTCCTTGAGTCGCCATCCCTCTTCCGCAAGTCGGGGTCGGGCAGCAGCAGCTGGAGGTCAGCTGCGGGCGCAGGCGCAGGCGTAGGCGTCGGAGTTGGTGAGGTTCCGGAAGGATTCGACGCCATCACATCGCCAGTGCGCTCTGCCGGCCCCCAGATCCCCGCATTCCTATCAGCACGCTGGGGCCGTCGCCCGCATGCAGGCCCGATCGCGTAACTCAAGGCAGCCAACCTGAGGGCGTAGGCCATGGTTGGCTCATAGAATCGCTCATGAGGGAGCGCAAGCTGAACAGAAGGGAAGGAGGAGAGAGGGAGGGGGCGAAAGCGGAATAATATAAACAGCCGGGAAGAAGAAGAAGAAGAAGAAGGTCTTTGGTCTTAAAACGTAAGCCAATGCAGGTGTGGTAGCCAGCAGTGCCGGGGTCGGAGAAGCTGAATTGGAATCTCCACCCACAGCACAGGTTTCGTTTCTCACGAGACGGAAGACCAGACAGAAGAGAGACAGGGAGGGGTCTCTGGCCTCTCGCCGCTTCATCACCCTGGCATGGCTTGTGTTGCACGCCCGAAGGTATCGGAGCCTGCGCTACGTCAGAAAAGAGGCGAGCGGTAGGCTTCGTCGAGGACCGGGTAAGCAAGCGATGGAAAGATCTTCACTTTCGATGGGCATAGGTCCAATGGGCGGCCGAATGTCACCTCACATGCCGTCAGCACCACCCCCCTATGCCCCCCCTCCAGAACCGTAAGCCGCCCGCGCTGCTCACCACTGCGACGATGGATGCGGATGCGGGATGTGATGTGCGGTCTGACCAAGAAGAACAGAAACAAGTGGTACAATTGCAATTGTCCTGTCCTGGACGGAGACCACGTTTGCTCGGACGCCCGCTGCTGCTGTTCCTAGAATAGAGCGGGAGAGGGAGGGACGTACACAGATAATATAAAATCGGCGAAGGATTTGAGATGGGGTTCAGGGTCCATCCATCCCCTCCCTCAAATGGGCATCGTCGCATGTCTCAATCCCAGATTGCCGAGCCCGAGCAAACAAATACCGCCAGCAAGCAGCCGAGTGCGTAAGGTAGCCACTTGGCCATCGCGGAATCGCGGGGAGCCTGCCTGTGGTCGACAGACGAGCCGCCATGTCATGCTGCGTGCCTTGATGAAGATGATGATGATATCGACGTCAATGCGGCATGCAGTGTTGCCATGGCTCGGACCACGGAGCAAAACAAGTTCTCGGGCCAGAAAAGCAATAAAAGAGATGAGACGGGACGAGACGAGACGAGGCGAGGCGAAAGAATGCGACCGATACAGGCTGTTTCCCGAGTGCAGCCGCGTGCATCAGACGGGTGTACGGAAGAAGGTACGAGGCAGAAAAGAGCGAGAGAGAGACAGGGATCCATCCGTGCGTGTGCGTGCGTGCAGCTGAACAACAGCCGCCTGTGCCTTCTTTCGCCGGTGACCGGTCTCCTCCAGCTGGTCACCTGCTGCTGCCACCGCCCTCCCGCATTAGCATGACGGAGACATGCAGGGTCCAGCATCCTCCTCCTCGAGTATACTGCTTGAGTGCCCCGCGTCGACGCGAAGTTGAAGACACGATGCCAGTGCTCCCACGCACCGAAACACCATTCCCTACGCTGGGCCACTTGGGATCACGGGCAATGGCATGCTGTAAGGCCTATGTGATGGTCCCCGATCACGCAATGCTCGTCCACCGCGTTTCCTCGAG